AAGAACTAATAATATTAAAAGAATTATTATATTACTAAATTAGAAGATTATAGTTATTTGAACTATATAACTATTTAAATTATATTTATATTTAAATATTTCTTTCATCTTAATAACTAATTATTATATTTTAAAGAGTTTATTTAATAAATCAAAGATTTTTAAAAAATTAGCATACTAAATTATAACTTTAGAAGATTATAACTTCAAGATTGAATACTAAAAAGACTGAATTTACTTAAATATAAATTCATTATCTAGATACTTTCAATCAGAATTAACTTAGATATAAAAGAAAGAATAAAGAATATAAAATATTATTATTAAATAACTATTTAATTTATTCTTATCTAATTATTTATATTTACTTTTATTAGAATTATAATTTTATTAATAGTAATAGAAAAATTATCAATAATTTTAAATAATTATTTAAAGTATTTATATAAAAATATTAAATTTTCTTTATATTTTTATTTTAAATCTTTTAAAAAATTCATAATTAATAATATTTTAATATTAATAATTAAGTTAACTAGAATTTTATTAATTTTAGATTTATATCAAGATAATATAATTTTAATTTTCTAAATAAATATTACTTTTTCTTACTTTTTTATTTTTTTTGATATTTAAATTTTTTATTAAGAAAAAATTTTGGTAAGTTAGACTTTTATAATATTAATCTTTTTAAATATTAAATTTTTAAGTACATTATATAGATTAGCTTTCTTTATTAATATAAATAAATAAATGTTCTCTTTTTTATTTTTTCTTCAAATTAATTTTATTTTCTTTTAAAATTTCTGATAATAATATAGTTATTTCTTTTTTTTTAATTTCTTTATTATTTATTATTATTCTGATATATTTGAAAAAGAGACTAGATTGATTAGAATTACTATTTGAAAAATTACTAACAGATGCTTGCAAATTAATAATTAGATTTTGAATTGTGTTAAAAAAAGAAGTTATATTTATATTTTATAAATTATTATTTTTTAACAATTATTTTGATTGTTCTAATTTTGCTAATTATTATTATTATAAGTAAAACTCTGATTCTGATTATTCTAATTTTAGAAATTATTCCTATTGTTATTTTATGAATTATCTTGTTGAGATACTATGAGGTATATTTTAACAACATAATTCTATCTTCATAATTAAAGCAATAATACAAGATTTATTATTTTGATTATTAAATTAAAATTATTCAATTCATATTTTATCTTATTTACAAACAATCTTATAACTTGGTATATAATACATATCATATGCACAAATACACATATATTACACATACAACATCTTGTTAAAATTATAACAAAATAAAGAATGATCAATTCAAATGAAAAGCATAATCAAATCAATTAAAGTAGTAAAGATAAAAGCTTTACAGATCCAAAATCTTTATCTTATCTTTCTATTAAACTATCATTCTATCATAAAGAATTTACAAAAAATGTTCTTGTTTTCAGAAGAATAACAAATCCAAGCGTACTTGCTATAATTATGGAAACCTGGTTATTTTTGCAAATAATTATTATTTAAAAGCACTAAAATAGCAAATATTGAAGAATTGCAAGAAGAAACATCACGCCAGCAAGAGAAAATTGAATTAACTTATTTAAAGTTCACAATGTAAGGATAATACTCGGTAGTAACGTTATGCGTCGGTGATGCTCAACACTCTGACAAACGCAATCCTGATAATTCGAAATCCCGAACGGACAGAATACCGAATGAACGAATCTAGATATTGTAATTTCGACATTCTATGCATTTGGAATGCGGGATTTCGTTTGTCAAGTTGGTCATACTAGATCCTTATAATACGATAAATTAAATTTTTCACTATAAAACATTTAAATATTACGCCATTGTTATTTTTAAAGATACTTTTACAACGTTCTAAGTTTTCCACCTATATTTTTTGAGTATGAATCCAGAGGACAAAAACATTAAAACGAGATCTTTTATATAGTGTATCGAATTATTTTTAAACGACAACGATGAAAATTTCAATTAAGCACAATTATTTGATTGACCATCCATCTGTCTACAAAAAGTGATTTCGTATGATCGAATTATTTATTTCCTTCAAGAAAACAATATAAACTATAAATACACATATATAGATTAAATATCATTTTGGTCGAATATACTAGTACCTGATCAGCGGGACTGATACTGTATTAATTTGTTTCATTCGAGTATATTTCTTTGTTTTTGCTTATAGTCCATTTCCTCATCAAGTTCGTTCAATTTCTGTCTCTCTATTCCCCGAAACTCGCAAATTTTCATGTGTTTTAAGATACATGTACTCTAAAGTGTTTTAATATTGAAAATGCAAAGCACTTAGTTTCTAGTCTTTATCAAAGATAATATAGATAGATTCGATAAAGTCATCAAGTTCCTCGGGAGTTGGTCTGTTTTCTGGAATAGATCCAAACTTTTTCGATAATAAATTTGCACTATCCGGGAACGTAATTTGGCATCGTAGGTTAGATATGACGTGTCGTATTCGAGATATTTACCACGGCTCCGCTCACCAAAAGGTCGTTCACCAGTTACAATCTCGTACATACCTAACCATTCAAATGCAATCAATATCTGCAGCATTAATGTACAGTTTTCTATCCAGCATCTCTGGACTTATATAAGGAAAGCACCGCACCACAAATTCCTTGGTTAAATTTTCTATATCAGCAAATTATAAAATAACAAATTTACAATAATCACGATGTTAATGATGATAATCGTGATAAGTTCTTGTTATAGAAAAGAAGCCTCATTTGTAAATGAAGAGGTAGAACGAAAAGTAGCATCAGACATAACGAAACGAATAATTATTGCTACAATAATCAATTGATCGATTAGCTCAATTAATCAATTAAATAACTAATCAATTAGTATTAATTGATTAGTTGATTAATCGCAATCAGTTAACTTTCAAAAAATTATAATCGATTAGTTGTCAATTTCAGTGTTAACATTTGGACTATGTCCAGGTTTTCGAATGGAATTGACATGGTCCAAATATTATATGTCCAATTGAAAATGACAATGTCCAATTAATCGATTAACCGATTATCGATTGATATCAGTATTTTGCATAGGGAGGACATATCTCATTGTATAGTACTCGGATACATGCCTTTGTATAAGATCTTTCACTGGCCTAATTTTTTATTAGATATGTTGAATGATTAATTAATAAAAATCATATGATGTAATTTGATACATGCAAGGGTATTATGCATGGGGGTACTATGGTCCCACTATACCGTAAGCTATAAATGACATATACATGTATGTATTAGGTAATACTTTAGATCTTAGGTGATGCATAGTTAAAGCATCTCTATCAAATGATACATGTTATTAGGTAATAAATGTCAGTGCCCTAATTAATATAGATATTTAATTTTAAAATAAAAATTAATAAAAGAGATAAATCATTTAATTATTCAATTTTAATTCCTCAAATCTCATTGGTCATAATAAAAGAGGTTACGTATATGAGTTTTAAGTTTTTAAAATAGTTTCCTTTCTATAAGAAGTTTAACGTTGTGATCATACAGCAATTGTATTTATTCCCAAAGCTTAATTGTAGTTTTATTCAAAGAATTATGATCGAACCAATAAGAATATACAAAATACTGAAACTTCTCTCCTTATTATGACCTTATATAGCTTATTTCAGGATTTTTGGTCATATGCCATAATAATGGCAGAAAAAAGTTTAATAGTTTTGGTGATGATTGCCATATTATCGAATGTATATTTATTTCAATTACATGTTACAATTACGAGTATAATGAATTTCATTTTTAATAAAACTATTATAATCCAAAAATTGTCAATAAAATGAATTTTTGTGAAATTAAGAATATAATTGAATTTTTAAAAACTTGAAAATATAAAATTTTGCTTCAGAATGGAATGATAAGAAAAGAATCAAGATTAAATTGGATTAAAAGATAGAAAAATTAATGATTTCCCTTAATAAATGTAGGTATCAATTTTGTATGAAAGATGGAATGGATTGATACAAAAGGTTACGAGAATGATGACACATAAAAAATTTTATTCTTTTTATTCCATACAAATTCTTACAAAAATTTTTATATTGAGTATGTTGAGAGGTGTCACGAAAAAATAGTTTAGAATGAAAATTTATAATTCTACATTTTGATTGGTGTATTTGTTAGATTGTCGTATTCAAATAACATTTTGTTAAATCCCAGAGAGATCAAACAAATTATTTATTTGTTATTATTATCTGTAAGCCCTGAAACACATTCCCATATACAACAAATTTCATTGTGCCCAATTGTACCAAACCAATTGTAGAAAAATGAACGAGAACGACAATGTGACGCTCCTTAATTGGTGAAGTTTGGGCTTTGGAAATGCAAGTTGTTGATTATTTCCTCAATTTATTGGACAAAGTTGCATTGATCAACTTTTTCCACTCTTTGTTTGAACCAATTACACCTTCAAACATGAATGTGCAGGATAATGCATCTGGTGTTAAAGATGGTTCACGCACGATTCCTTGAACTCTTTTTTAGGCTTCTCTAGTTAGCTTAACTTTTTGTCACTGCACTATTAATGAGATATATCACACCGTTTCAATTTATATTAATCAGAAAAAAAGAAAACTGTTTAACAATAATTGCACCCCTCTACCCTCTACCCTGCTGGTACAGGCAATCATAACGAAAAACTTGTTTCAACTTAACAAAAACATTCTTTTTCCAAAAAAATAATCGACTTCCTTAGATACAACAACATACAACATACAACATACATACAACATACAACATACACGTAGATACACAAATATACTCACTTGTTGTTGAAGCGAGAAATTATAATAGACTACTAATAAAAATAAAATGATAAGAAGTATAGGGGGAAGTATACGAAGAAACGTCAGCAATGCTTCGCGAAGGACACAAAAGTCGGCTCCGGTCAAATTATCTACGGAAATGACTCATTTGATTGTTAAACGGTGTGCCGATGAGATTGAGGAAAGGGGTAATTAATTGTTATTTAATTAAGAGGTGAACAAACCTGTTAAGAAAAATAAATTTACGCATTATTATATATCCATTGTTTTTTGTCCGTATTAGGGTTGCATGAAGTTGATATTTTTAAACCAATACGAATCGGAGAGAATGCTGCTGAAGTAAAAGACCTTATAAATTGTATGCTGCAAGATAATAGAATGCAATTTGAGGATGAAATAAAAAATCAAAATATTCATAATGTTGTGGCAGCAATGAAATGGGCATTAAGGCATTGTGAAGTGACATTGGTTCCTTACATGTTTTACGAAGAATTTGTGAGATTCGAACAGGGTAAATTATTATTATTTCCTCCACTTATCGTTAATTTTTAAATATCCATATTAACAATCAATTTTATCGATTGCATGATAATAGAATGGGATTTTGATCCAGAAAAAGGATCGTTTAGTCAATTTCTTTTATATCTCCCAAAACAAAACCAAGAAATTCTTTTATGTTTATTTGACATTTGCGCAAAAGTTACAGAGGAGTCACACATTAATCAAATGTCAGCACAGAAAATTGTTAAGTCATTGGCATTATGCGTTTTGGGTGACCAAGAGCGAAAGTTTGATACTTTTGATGACGCTTATTCAGAGTATTCGAAATGTTCGAATGCGTGTCTGCATTTATTTCTAGCTTATCTGCGGGAGAAAGCAGTCGCGACGAGATTGCCACCACGATTAACAGTTTTCCTGGATAATATTAATTATTTGGATGTACGAAAGAAATCTGTCGCGTCAATGTATATACATCCACAAACACTTAATAGACAAACTTATACGTCCTCAATTCTGGGTGATGATTCACAGGCAAACAATTCTCAATATGCGGAGTCGTATCTTTCACAATCTGACATTGAAGAAGGATTACTGCCGCCATCCAATAGTAATTATGCAGAATCGACAACATCAACAATAACTAAAGATACATATCAAAAATCACCTGCATCTGATAATTATGAGCGTCCAACAAGTATATTACGAGTGACACGAACTATGCCTGTACAACAGCAACCGGGTCAGAATCAAAATTTTAACTCAAGAAAGAGTAAAGCAGTTAGTATTCTATTACCTGAAATGGTTGATAATCTTAATCGTCAAACAATCGTTCGTGCTAGTACATTGATGACAGCTGATGAACAAAAAACTGCACAAACCTTATGGAAAGAATTTCAAACAGAAGGCGTTAGTGGGTTTTCTGATGATTTTCTTAAATTATTTTTTTCACTGGATGACCGTGAAGAACTTTACGCAAGTCCACCATTATCTCCATCAACTGTTGCATCATCTCCATTATCTGATGCAGCGGAAAAACCAACGAACACTGGAATATGGTCAATTAATAAGAATAATAATTCTAATAATTATAACAATTATAATGATTATAAGAATAATAATAATAATAATCTTTATAATAAGAATACAAAAGATAATAAAAGTCGAAATAACATAGAAAATGAAAATAATTCACTACTGCAGAGAAGTCCGAGTGAATTAGATAAATATAAACCAGTAAGAGGACCGCGGCCAATAACAGCTGTTTGGAACAGTTTCAGGGAATTCGGTTTTGATGGATTAATCGGAGGAATAGGAAATAAAAAAGATCCGAAGGTAGAGCAGCTTTTAGGTTATAATGATTCAAATAGAATTGAACATATTGAAGAAATACAAGACAATGATTCAAATAGTAGTGAACAGCGCCCACATAAAAAGGAATGGAACAATTTTAAAGATAAAGGATTTGGGGATTTAGCTTCGGACAATATATCAGATGCATTATCACTTAGTAATGCATCGATAACCTCACCAGCGCCGTCGATTTTCAATAAGGATCTATCACCTTCAGTGGCTCCGTCAATAGCACCATCAGTATTCAGTAATGATGCTAGTGCTTCGGTCTTTACGTCTAAATCACGTAAAACAGCGCGAAGTGGTAAATCATTTGGTTCCCGACAACGTCAAATGTCAGACGAGGAAAGATCAGTGAGCACAGCAACCAGAACCGTTGAAGAAATGCAAAACTGGCATATGATTGATCGGAAAATAGATTTCCCTTCGACAACACATTTAGCAATTGAAGCAATCGACGAGATCTTTCCATATGTCTGGATGGAAAATACAGCCGCAGAAGACAAAGACGGATACTGGGGCGATTGGGTATTTATTGAACCAAGAAAAGGTTTGCTAAATGAATGTGAATGGATAATGATCGAAAATCAACATCATGTGTTTGGGAATGATTGGGGGAATCCAGATAATTATAGGCAATTTTCAAAACGACGGAGTAAACTCGGTTTTTCTTGGATACGACGAAGCTTTGTTAGCAGACGAAGTAGCCAATCCATTTATCAAGCAAAAGTTAAAAGATTCAATACGGTGCCAAATCAATCTAATAATAATAGCTTTAATGGCAGATTTTCGAAAGGATCAACAAAATCAAGTAAATCAAAGAAATCAAAGAAAAAAGGAAAAAGCGTTGAAGGATTGCCACCGAATAATTATGCTAATAATGGAAAATTACATCCAAATGCTGGCAGTTATAGTCGTAATGATGTAAAATTAATGCCTAATGAAAATAATGGTCGAAATCTCGACCGGTTCACTTCGGATAGGAGAAGATATCCAATTGATATTAATGATGCTGAGCCACAAAAACTTGAAGACTCTGAAAATAATGTTTCGTCTTCTAATCAATATGAGACTGGGCTGAACCTTGATAAAATCATAAAAGACATTAGACAACCATTGCAACATACTGACAATGAAAAATATGTTTCAACTGAAACGTCTCAAGAAAATTCGAATATTGCCAATGAGACAAGTCAAGAGATTTCACAGGAACAAGATCAACAATTTGTTGAGACACCTAAAAAGGAATCTGCACCAATATATAAATTAAGTCAAAATGCGACTCCAAGATTATTAAATGGTAACCAAAATGACAAGACAAAATTGAAACAACAAGGATCACAGCGATATAAGTATATCGATATACCGAAGACATCATCAGTGGCATCAAGTGAAACGAAAAATAAATCGCAGCCTTATCCGACTGCTAATAATAATATGCCTTCTGAACAAATTGTCTCGACACAGCAGTCTCGGCCACAGATTTCTCGATCAAATACTGAAACAAAATTCTCAAGATCAAATGAGAAAATTCAAGCTTCAAATTCTCAGGAAAACATCTCACAACCATCATCCGACTCAAACAAAGAATTACCTATGAATTCCCAACAAATTTCGGCACAACAAAAATTACCTTATAATCAAAATGAAATGATGCCACCTTCAATCGAACAAGTTCAACCTCAAAGACAAGCCTCCAGATCTAATGAGCAAATTCAACCCGAGAGACAAGCTTCAAGAAGACAACCATATCCACAAACGTCAAATCCTCAAGACTTGACTCGATCTCAAAAATCATTAAATTTAAATAAAGAATTGCCATTATCACCTCAAGGAGCTAATGAGCAAATTCAATCACAACCACAGCCTTATAATCCTCGGTCTTCAGGTTCTAGATCAAATGAACAAATTCAATCTCAAAAACAGGCTTCAAGATCTAATGAAAGAATTGAACAAATTCAACTGCAAACTCAAGCTTCAAGATCCAATGAACGAATTGATCGGATTCAATCTCAAAAGCAGGCGTCAAGATCTAATGAACGAATTGAACGAATTCAAACTCAAATCAAAGCTTCAAGATCTAATGAACGAATTCAGCCTGAAGTGCAAGCCTCACGATCCAACGAGCAAATTCTACTTCAAAGAGACGCTCAACATGAATTACAAGATTCAAGATTGAATGAGCGAGTTCAATCTCAGAGACAAGCTTCTCGGTCAAATGAACGAATTCAACCGCAAGGACAAGCTTCTAGCTCTCAAGAAAGAATAAAACAGTTACCTTCATCATCTTCTGATTCAAACTCTCAATCACAAAGTCATTCTGAAAGACAAGAAAGAATTCAACAACTACCACAGCAACAAATCCAACCACAATCTTCCGTTCAAATGTCGAATGATGAGACAAGACAGCCGCTGTTTCCTCTTGTCCCTGAAGGCTTGAAACCTAAAAACGCAGCAAGACCCAAGAGGCGCCCACCACCACCTGCTTTACCTGAAAAAAGGCGGCCACCAACTGCTACACAACAGACTTTAATGATGCAGCAGCAGCAGCAGCAGCAACAACAACTGCAATCTTCATCGCAAAATTCCGCGTCACGACAACAGGATTCAGCCTTACAACAACAGCAGCCTGTAATTCAAAACGAAAAATTACGCCCCTATGGAAATGATGAGAAATCAGAGTCTTATTCAACTGACGCAAAATTACAAGCATATGCAAATGACGTCAAATTGCAACCATTCCCAAATAACGCAAAAGTACAGTCATACCCAAAGAATGCACCTGTCGCTGAAAGTACTTATGCAGCGGATGACATCTTAAGTTCGTATGCAAGATCTGAAATATCCGGAACTCCTTCAGATGCCGGAAGCATTTACTCAAATGATCAACGTGACAACAATATTAACACACCTAAAAAATTTCAAGGATATCAAACCACATCACAACGATTAGCAGCACAAGCTTCAGAAAAAGCCGCCAAACACATGTCTGTGTCAAGTACTGGCTCAACAGCACCCGTGAAACCTGCACGTAGTGTTTTGCGTACAAAAGTCTTTGGTTCTTGAGGATAGAGGTCTTTTTGATTTTATTTTATTCATAAACAGTTTTGTAAAATTCTTGGAAAGGATGTTTAGATTTAGATTGGGATTGATTTTTTGTTATTTTTGTATTTTTAGAATCAATTATTATCGTCATACTTTTCTTAGTATTATTCATTAATATACAGCACACGCATTGCTATTAGATATATAATATATACCACGTCACGTGCACTATACAAATATTATACATATTCATACCAATAAATATAATACGTGCATGAATTTATTCATGATTGTAAATTTTAGTATTTATGGAATTTGATCCTCAATTTGACAACTTTTCCCGAACCCATAAAGTAAGTCTCACACAATAAATGTCACTGGGTGAACTGGTTAAGTTATCATCGTGCGTTTGTGCAGCGTTCCTTCCTTTAATATGCTCGCAATGTTTAGCTAAATAATCTATTGAGGGAGGTTGGGTTTGTATAGAACATGTATTTGAATTAAAATATTTTTTTATCTTTAATTAATCTGGTGAACATCTCGTGTATCTTGTTCTTCGCTTCGAGTTTCAACCCCCCCCCCCCCTCTTTTAGTATTATTCCAGGTTATATTCATAAATTCAACACCATATCTCCAAATTTGATTTGTATAACAAGATGATCAGATGAAGATCTGCAAATTTTGATTGGTTCATGACTTCTCGAACTTCACGATAAGGTTTCTCGTGAATACTGTAGATTGGCTATTATGGGAATAAGCAGTCCGAGATCTGTAGTATTATAATCAGTTGAAGTCTCGCTATAATCAGTCTCTCTTGAAAAAGTATGTTGGTTAAAAACTAAGCTTTTAGACTACTGTAAGCTAATTTTAATAACCTGTTTTTTCATGAATATCAGTAAAACCTGGTTAACTGTCTCAGGCAAGGGTAAAAGATTTACCTTGTGCTCTTGCAGTCTTAGTTCCATCATATTATAGCCAATGATTAAAAGAATGTGAGACCAAAGAAACCCAATTAAGCAACGCACAAGCAACAAAGAATCAAAAAAATGGCTTCCAATGTACAATAAATTTTTTTCTAAACTGATTGAAGCTCAAACCTACTTAGAAGACTATTCTTTATGTGAGAGATATTATAATCAGTTTAGCATTTATGATTATCTGCGATAAAGTTTTTTAAATTCTGATCAAACTTACTTTTTATGAAATGTAAAATGATTCTGGCACAACAAATTTGATTTAATATCACGAACTTTAAAAGATAAAAATCAAATAATACAAGTTGAAGAACAAACTACTCGTGATTTAAATGTACAAGTTGAATGTTAATTTACTCATGATATAGATATGCAAGTTGACATAGCTGATTAAGAGCTTAGAAATCATATTTATCTACTTCAAATTGAAATAAATAATCTTCAAGAATAGCTGAATTATGTATATGATTATGTAGTAGAGAATTGATGAAGTAATCAGATATTATACAAGGAAAATTGTAAATGAAAGACTCAATTTGATACTTAAGTAAAGAGAATTAATATTATCATTCAAATTGCTAAACAGAAGTATCAAAATATCTATAATAATATTAAATTATTAATTTTGAATAAAGATTGATTTTTATTTGACAATCTATTGAATTATATATCTTGACTAAATAAAATTCAGTTATCATTAACTTTGTTGAGATTTTGACAAGTAATAATTCTAATTCTAATAATTCTAGCTCCAGTACTAATTTATATATAAAAAACTTCAAAAAAGCTATTGTTATTAATATAATTTATAATATAAGATATGAAAAGTATGTTTTTAAAATAAATCTAATAGTATCTACAATCAAATATATTATAATTATTAGTTCTGAAAATTATATTAAGTTTATTAATTAATTAAAATTATTAGTGAATAATAAAGAAATCTTTATTTAAAGAATTTTTATTTCTGATATTTAATAATAAATAATAAGATTAATATAATTATCTTAATTATAATATAATATTATAATATATAATTACAAGATTTATAGCTTTTAATATAAATAAATATAATAAAACTTAATTTATAAATATATTTTAATTTTATAACTTGCTAATTTCTATTTAATATATAAAATTATATTATTTTATATTAGTAATAAAAATAAAATATAAGTAAGAATTGAATATTATTAATAATTTTAGAAAAATTTATTTTCAAAAAAACTAATCAAATATTATTAATTTGATTATAAAAATTAAAAAAATTCTAGCAATTAATTAAAATAATATAATAAATATAATATAAGTAATATTGATAATTAAAAATATAATTATTTTATTTATAATATAAAATTAATTATTTTTAACTATTTTATAAATAATATTTATCAAAACATTTATTTAAATTAATAATATAACTCTCTTTTTAAAACTAAATCTTGTATTTTTATTTTTTAATTAAAAAACTTCTTAACTTAAGCATATTAATATTATATAAAAAATATATCTAATCAAGATATTATTATTTCAAAAATATATATATTTAATTTATTAAAAGTTAATTTTAATTTGATAAATAATATTAAAAGAATTTTAAAATATATATAAGTTATTATAAGAATTAGAAATAAAAATAAATATTAATTATTTATAATAAAGTTTTTTATAATTTGACTTAAAAAATTAAAAAGATTTTTTTAAACTAATATTAGTTTTCAAATTCTTATATAAAAAATAAATATATTAAAAATATTTATAAAATTAAATTAATATTATTTTTAATTTTTATATTTAATAATATTTATATGAATTTTAATATAATTTTCATAAAATTATTAATATTAAATAATTTACTATCTGTTAAAAATATAAAATTAAAAATTAGCTTAAATTTTTTAAAAAATATATTAATTATTATAAATCATAAGATTTTATTTATAATATTTATTATAATATTATTACTTATAAGTTATTATAATTATATATTATTAAGACTAAAAATTATATATAAAATTATTATTTATAATAATAATCAACTATATTATTATTTTATAAATTTAAAATTTTAATTAATTAAAAAATATAGAGTATTAATTAATTAAAATTCTAAATATTAATTAATAAAAAAAATAAAATTTTTAATTAACTAAAATTTAAAAATATTAACTTTCTTTATTTAATTATTTAAATAAATATTTTTTATTTTAGCTTTAACTTTAACTTCTTCTTTTTTATTTTTAAATTTATTTTATAATTTTTTAATATTTTATAAAATTATTTATAATTGATTATAAATTTTTTATTATAAATTATAATACTTTAAATAATTAGAATTATTTATAAAGATTAACAAGAAATTAATAACTATTAGAAGTTCATTTTTTATTATATTTTTTTTATTTATAATTATCTTTATTTCTTAAATAATTATAAATATTATAACCTTCTAGTTACATAGTATAATATATCTAGATAATTCACACAGAAAAGTTAGAATATAGTATTATATCAGAAAAATTCACACAGAAGATTCAAGATATAAGCGATATTATTTGAAATAAAATTTACACAGAAAACTAAATCAAAAGCAGATAAGAGATTATATTTTAAAACTTATTCTTTATTTATATGTTGGTTATTAAA